GGTCCGGCATTGTTCCATGGTGCGTGATTGATGGGGCAGTCAGGGGAGCGAGGGAGCACGATTAGCGCCGCGAGGCAACGCATGTGAGCAAGCGATTGGGATCGCAGGTGGGTAGACTGACGACCCGAAGTTTGATCCTCGCACCCACTCTTTAGTTTTTAGTTACGAGAGATGGCTTACCGGAGACGTGAGGTGGAGAGAGGTTACAACTTAGATTGGAGAAGGCCATAAGGCACCGAAACTCAAGTTGGAGAAGACCATAAGGCACCGCACATCACGCCGAACGACCAATCTTCAATGGTGGGCAACGGCTAGAAAACTAATGACTAGCTGACGTGGACGCACCGGACTTGTCCGTTGGGTACACCAGACGTCCGGTGCCTACGCGAAAACTGTTGTGCAGCCCAACAGCTATATTTGGAGCTAGAGGCTATATATACCTCTTTGGCCGCCCAACGGCCAAATGAATTGGCGTGTAATTGCTTTTGCGAAGTGCTTAGGCTCATCTCTAGTTGTTCTAGCCACCAAAGTGCTTACTCATATACTCGGTGATTAGTGTAGATGCTTTTGCGAAGTGCTTAGGCTAGTTAGACCATCACTTTAGCTTTTGCGCTAGGTTTAGGCCTAGTGTTTAGTGAGGTTTACGTACGTACCTCTTACCACTCGGTGCTTGTGCGCACCATTGTTGTCACCAAAGGGCTTGTAGTCTTGCGAGACCACACCAATCGTGTTTTACGACTATTGATAGGATTGAAACTTTGTTTGTGTGCTTTACATCCCTAGCTTAGTTGATACAATAGTTGATAGGATTGGAACCTAGGTTGTATAACTCTTTTGTGGTAGAGATAGCAACACACCTAGTAAAATCTTAGTTGCACATCTAGATAGATTATTTGATTCATTAACTTTGACTAGTTGGAAATTAGAGACAATAGTTTTTGAAATAGTTCTTAAGCTGTCTAATTTGTCCGGCATCGCAGTCCCTTAAACTACTATGGTCACAATTTCAATAGACGGCCAAAAACGATTTCCGGAGGCAGGCAGCCAGTCCGCCTCTTCTTCCGTGCCTGTGTAAATTAAGATTTAATGACTACAAAGACGAGTATATGTCTGCCTCCATTCATAAAATAAAAAAAACAAAAAATGACGAGCCCATCCACAAGGCCCACTGAGGCAATCGATGCGCTGCCGCCGCTCGCCGGACCCGCTCGTACGCTGCCACTACTTGCCAGATCCGTCTGCCCATCATAGGAAGTACATTAACCCCTCACCATTAAACAAGATGTTACCTTAGTTTGTGCAACGTGAAAGATTTTTCACCTATATTTCTGTTCTTTGGAGGCTATCCCCAACATGAATGCAAGTAATCCTGTATCCTTGCTACACATTTTTTGTCAGCCCTGCCCTGATGGCACTCCTCGCCAGATCCGCCCGCGCGCCGCCGCCACTACATTAAAAGTTCGAAGATAGTCAACTGGAGTTGGCAGAAGTAAGGCAACACTATGAGGAAGCCCTATGAGGAAGCCCTTGATGAGATTGATGAGTGGAGGAGTCAGTGCTGGACTACCCAAGATCAATGAAGTGGAGGACGTGTCCCACTTATCCCCACGCAAGAGTTGTTACCCCGGATGCCGTTGTAGCCACACCGCGTTTAAGAAGTAGGAGTTTGTCTCTTGTGTAATAAAACCGATAGTAGCGAAGTTGAGTTGAGTCAGTTGGTCTTAATGTGTGGCTTGTGAACTTTTAGTGCTTAGTTGCTTTGTGCTTATGTTTATGCTTAAGTTGGATTTTGTAATGAGTGCAATTATCTTGTGGGGTTTATCCACAATTTCATTTAGTTTATATGTCTAAGGTACAAGGATTAATGAAATAAATAGTTTGGTTTTGGTTTCTTTTGTTTTCTCTATCATGTATCTTTGGAGCAATCTGTCTTCTTAGGTCTATATCTCAGTTTTTGGATGACGATAAATGATGGAAAAATTCTGGGCAACAGTAGACGTTAATATCTTTCTGTGACCGCAAGAAGCACCTTCATAGCTCATCTGGTTTGAAAGTTACGAAAATCATAAGTCGATGCATCCGTGTTGTCTGAAACCTGAAACAGTTTCTGTTATGCACTGTATTGGACTACCTTAACTACAGAATCTAGAAAAGTGTTCTACACGAAAGTTGTAGGGAATTTGATAAGTTTTCGAACGGTATAAAATACAACTTCATTGGATTAATAGAGAAAGAATTATAGCTGCTTTCTGTTCGCGAGAAATTCCAGGATACATGTTCTTATTTATGCACATGAGTTCTCCAGAAGGTCTTTATGATAGTCAACCTACCTAGAAGGAGATGCAAGTTACTTTGGTGTCCTCTAGTTTAATTCTTCTTACGGGGTAGCCAAAGTAAAGAAGGTTTGTAGTTCTTCACTTGGAAGCATAAGCTATATCGCTGAGAAGTCACTATCAAGTGCACGTATCTTTGCTCAGGGTTGGTAACTTATTGGGTTTCTACAAGGAACTCAAGTGTTCGTCAAAAATGATCTTCGGATCGAGCTATCGTCAGTTGGGTGTTCAATATTCGACATACCCAATACAAGTTAGCATTGTTGACATAGGAAGGAGATATTGGACATTTACAATTGGTGCTATGGAGACTAAGAAAATGTCACTGTTACACCAAGCATGATAATAAGCTTTGATTCTTGGATAGGTTATCTCTAATGATGGAATTATGGTGGACTCAAGAAAGATAAAGATGTGTTGAGTTGGAACCCACCAAAGGATGTTTGTGAGACTTAGAGTTTCATGGAAATGGCAAGATACTATCATATGTTCATTGGAGGCATTGTAATCTTGACATAAGAGTGACTCATAGTTCCTTTGGAATAATAAGATTCTATCGGAGGTTCATTGGAGGCATTATAAAGATCGACATAAGAGTTTCCTCTATCCCATCAAGACTTTGGATGTGCTCTATGCAAGAAAACCCAGTTGTGGATGAGTTCCCGAATGTGTTCCCCGATGATTTGCTAGGTATATATGCCACGCGATCGCGACATTGAGTTTATTATTGAGCTTTTACCTAGAACTGCACCTATTGCTAAGAGGCCATATATAATAGGGTTAAATAAGAATTAGAGAAACTTAAGAAACAATTGAATGAGCTGTAGGAGAAAGGTTTCATACGCCCCAGCTCATCTCCATGGGGCACCTGTGATCTTTATTGATAAGAAGGATGGTACTCAATGGATGGGTAATAGATGGCAATGGTTATGATGAGTTTCCTGAGGACTACTAGACTTGTGGTCAACCAGTTGACGTCCCTGTGATAGAGCTACTACGAGAGTTATCTTTATTTTCCGCTATGTTTATTATGCAAAGACTATGTGATGATATTATTTGTGATGTAATAAACACCTATGATGGTACATTTTGTAATTTGTCGGCTTATGTGTGTGATTGATCTTTGGGTGCATATATATAAGATTATGCATTCAATTTTATCCTTAAAATTGGGTGTGAGATTTCTTCTCCTTGGAGGCTACCCCCTACATATCTGAATGCAAGTAATCCTGTATCCTTGCTACACATTTTTTGTGAGCCCTGCCCTGATGGCACTCCTCGCCAGATCCGCCCACGCGCCGCCGCCACTGCTAAGATTAGGACCGCCGCCGTCGATCCCGTTGTAGCCATCACCATCGGATCTGACTGCCTGCGAGAGAGAGGGTGAGAGAGATACTGAGAGAAGAGAAAGGGTGAGAGATATACCACCGCGAGCCCCGGCCACAATCCTAAAAATATGCAATATAGGTTCACAAAAAAAAAATGCAATATAGGGGGATTACTCATCCTATCCCCAATTTAAGTAGTTATGACTCTAGTTAATGATCACAGAAACTATTTATGTTTTTTGAGTTGGTACTGCTAAGAGATCTTAGCACGCTAGTTAATGGTCACAGAAACTATCATGATTTCTGAGTTGGTACAGCTAAGAGGTCTGTTTGAGGATGAAGTGGTAAAATATTATTAATGTCTTGGTGAAGGGGGCCACTCCCTCCATCTACGAATGGTGTTTGGTTTGTGCAATTATCTCATGCTTCATGAGGTGGTGCATCATGAGTTCCTCCTATAAATTTTGGTGGAATCAACTCATTCCTTTTATATATATATATATATATATATATAATTAATTATTAGCTTACGAAGAATGATGTGGTGATGGATGAATCCATTTCATTCCACAAACTAAACAAAAAGGTGAGGAGTTTGTAGAAGATAGACCACCTTATTTCTCCAAACACACCCAAAGAGTATCATTCTCGCTTTTCAAAAAGTCAAATAGTTTGAACCTTGACTAAATATATGTAAGAGAATATTAATATTTATGGTGAATAATTAATATTATTAGATCAATTGTTGGACATATATTTTTATGAAAAAAACTTATTTGAAGATATAAATGTTGCTAATATTTTCTATAAACCAAACTTAAAGAAATTTCACCAATGAAATCGTACACCATCTTTTTTTGACCCAAATCAGCTTGTGTGGTGGTTTTGCAGGCTTAGCATAAGCAAATGGGTGACACAAGCGTAAGCTCTCATCCAAGCGCACATTGCAGCAAAGAAAAGTATAGGCTTGCTCACATGTTTGTCAGAACCACATGCATCTCCCTCGGCAATAAGACTGACTCCAACAATATAACCCATACCTGAGACTCATTTCACGATCTATGTAATGTACAGTAAAAAATGTTACGTCCCCATAACTTCACCTCTCCAACAGAGGAGCCCCAAATCCCTGCATCCGCGAAAATATCCGAGCTCCCACTTCACTACAGCTACTACCTCCTCCTCCTCTTGATTCCTCTGCTCGCCTCCATCCCACTCCTCGGCCTCCACCATTCGGCGGCCCGGCGTGGCGCCGCTCCCTCCTCCGTCGCCGTGGGCGCTCCCGGTGGTCGGCCACCTCCACCACCTGGCCCTCGCGGGCGCGCTCCCGCACCGCGCCATGAGCGACCTGGCCCGGCGCCTCGGCGGCGGCCCGCTCATGCTGCTCCGCTCGGCGAGCTCCGCGTCGTGGTGGCCTCGTCCGCCGCCGCCGCGCGCGGGGTCATGCGGATCCCCGGCGCGGACGCCAGACGAGCGCACGCGGCGCCCGAGCGCGGGCGAGCGGGGTCGGCGCGGGCGCGGCGGCGCTGCTGCCGTTGGCGAGCGGTGCCGACGCGAGCGAGCGCGGACGAGCGGGGCCGGCGGTGCGGCCGGTGCGGGAGCGGGCCACCTCAGCGTTGCGGAGGCGTGCGCGGACGGGCCACCATCGGAGATTTGCGTACCGAGGAGAGAGGGTATGCTTTTTTGCGTATCACTTCGGTCGGTAGGTAAAATGGGTCATCCGTCTAGGTCAGCCGTTGAAAACTGTTTTCGGTAGGCAAAGTAACTGTGCGTAACGCATTTTGGATTTGCATCTCCTCATTGGAGACAGTCTAAAGATCAGGAAAATGACGTTTGGTGGGAGCAGCAAGGTTGCGTTGGAAGATTGACAGTACTGTACTGTATTTTGTTTTCTGAGACCAACGATGATAGCTGCCCCCGTGGACGGTAGGAGTACCCGTGTACTTGTGGCCAGGCTTTAGGTGGCAGTGTACATGTTCATCATTTCTTCCCTGTCCTAGTAGGTTCCAAGCAGCTTGACAGTGGAGAAATCAAACAAGGAATGCAATGGCTCCTCGTCCGTTGATCTTACAAGGTAGGTAGTATCCAAAGCTATCCTTCCGCCTCCAACTCTTCACGGAACTGATCTTCCTCTCCTGCAGCAGATGCAAAGGAGCAATAAAGTTACTATATCCGTACTGAAACCATTGCATTGCCAGATTTCTTTTCATGGAAAGTGCGTGATTTTTCTTTCTAAATTCGTCGTCTGTTTGTTAATGTCCTCTCGCCTAACCTATTCCTCTTTGTGGTCCCAGTGCCCAGCCGAATGCTCGCATCAACCTGCGACGGAGATCATCTCGAACTCGGAGTCGACATGGAATCTCTGTACTTCCACAGGAGCCTCATCGATCTTATCGATCTCATTTTCCTCGCTATTTACATCCTGAGCTTGGTGGTCTCTGCTTGCGCGAAGAGATTCAGGGTTCGCACAAGGGACCTGCCGTCGCTGTGCTCTCTTACTTCTCTCTGCTGCGCCGTTCTTGGCATTGCGTGCATCTGCTCCGGGGTATGGGGCTCTTCTTCCTCTTCGTCTTCGTCTTCCAGGGCAGAGCTCTTCGTCAGGGGGGTGGTTTGGATTGTCGTCTCGGTTTCTTTGGTGGTTCGACCGACCAGGTTCTCCCGGGCCGTGGCCATGTCGTGGTGGGCAGTGCTTGCGGCTATGGCCACAGCGTACAGCGTGGAGAAGATCGTCAGGGGCAGCTCGATGGGCGTGCTTGACATCGCGTCGTGGGTTGTCAGGTCGATGCTTCTTTTGTGCGCAGTAATAAGTGTTTGCAGAAATCTCTCCTTCCGCAGCGATGGTGGAGAGGAGGAGGAGACCCAGCCGTTGCTGACGGCGGGAGGCGGGGAGCAGAGAAAGGCGGCGTTCGGGGATGCAGGGTACTTGAGCCGCCTGACGTTCACGTGGGTGGACCCGTTGCTCTGGCTCGGGTACTCTAAGCCGCTCGACCTTGGCGACATCCCGCCGCTGGACGCCGACGACGCCGCGGCGGAGGCGCGCCGGACGTTTCTGGAGGAATGGCTCCGGCGGAGGCAGACGGCCGCGGGGAGGACAAGCACAAGCAACCTGGTGTTCTGGGTGCTCGCCAAGTGCTACAGGAAAGAGCTCCTCCTGACGGCGCTGTACACGCTGCTACGAACACTGTCCTTCGGCGCGGCGCCGGTGATCCTGTACTGCTTCGTGTCCTACTCGTACCAGCGGGAGCGAGAGCTCGCCACGGGAATCGCCCTCGTCTTCGTCCTGCTCTTGACGAAGGTCGTCGAGTCGCTGTCGCAGAGGCACTGGTTCTTCGGGTCCAGGCGGCTCGGCATGCGCATGCGCTCGGCGCTCATGGCCGCCCTCTTCGACAAGCAGCTCAGGCTGTCCAGCGAGGGGCGGACGCGGCACTCCGCCGGCGAGGTCGCAAACTACATCGCCGTCGACGCGTACCGGATCGGCGAGTTCCCGTTCTGGCTGCACATGGTGTGGTGCATGCCGCTGCAGCTCGCCCTCGCCATCGCGATGCTCTTCTGGACCGTGGGCGCCGGAACGCTGCCGGGCCTGGTCCCCGTCGCAGTCTGCGGCGTGCTCAACGTCCCGCTCGCCAGGATGCTGCAGCGGTACCAGTCACGGTTCATGCAGGCGCAGGACGAGCGGCAGCGCGCCACGGCGGAGGTGCTCAACGCCATGAAGATCGTCAAGCTGCAGTCGTGGGAGGACAGGTTCAGGGAGACGGTGCAGCGGTTGCGCGACGTCGAGGTCCGGTGGCTTGCTGAGACGCAGATCAAGAAGGCCTACGGCAGCGCTCTGTACTGGATGTCTCCGACGATCATCTCCGCAGTCATCTTCGCGGGGACGGCCACGCTCCGGAGCGCTCCGCTGGATGCCAGCGTCGTGTTCACCATCCTCGCCACGTTGCGCGTCATGTCGGAGCCTATGAGGGTCCTGCCAGAGGGTGATGCCCATCATGATCCAAGTCAAGATATCGCTGGATCGCATTGGCGAATTCCTTGCCGAGGATGAGTTCCAGGACGACGCGGTGGACAGGACATCCATAGCCTCCGACACGAGCCTCATCGTGCAAGATGGTTTCTTCAGCTGGGAGCCTAGCAAGGCCATTGCAACTCTGAAAGAAATCAATGTCAGGGCAGTGCGGGGTGAGAAGATTGCGGTCTGTGGGCCTGTCGGCGCAGGGAAATCGTCGTTGCTGTGCGCAATGCTTGGCGAGATACCAAGAATGTCCGGATCGGTATGTCAAGTAGTGCACATTTGTTCAAAATTAAATGCTCTTTAAGTATCAAATCAAGCATATGACATGAACTAATCTCCTTCCCCGTTTCTGTTCTTCAGGTATCAGTGTCTGGCTCAGTTGCCTATGTTTCATAGACGTCCTGGATCCAGAGCGGCACTGTACGCGATAATGTACTCTTTGGGAAGCCCATGAACACTGAGGATTACGAGAAGGCGATAAGGTGTTGTGCATTGGACAAGGACATTGAGAACTTTCCGCATGGGGACCTAACCGAGATTGGTCAGAGAGGCTTGAACATGAGTGGAGGACAGAAGCAGAGGATTCAGCTCGCGAGAGCGGTCTATAATGACGCGGACATTTACCTTCTCGATGATCCTTTCAGTGCCGTTGATGCACATACAGCTGCTACTCTTTTCAATGTAAGAATGCCTCTGATAGATTACTATCATAGATACATACTAATCATTTCATTGATATGTCTGAAGCTCCTGAATGTATGTAGGACTGTGTGATGGCAGCACTTCAGAACAAGACTGTGATTCTTGTGACACATCAAGTGGAGTTCCTTTCCAAGGTTGACAAGATTCTGGTGAGTGAATTTGGCACTATAAATTAACTATCTTGAAACAATTACCTATCACTGGTTAAGCGTATATATCCTTCCACACAGGTCATGGAAAATGGGGAGATAACTCAGGAAGGAACCTATGAGGTGCTTCTGCAGTCTGGCACAGCATTTGAACAGCTTGTCAATGCTCACAGGGACTCAAAAACAACACTAGGCTCCCAGGATCGTGGCAAAGGAGCAGAAGAGCCAGGCACATTTCTTCAGAACCAAATACAGATGATACCGCAGAACAGCGAAGCGGAAATATCTGATGCTAATCTCCTGTCAGTCCAACTGACAGAAGAGGAGAAGAGGGAACTAGGAGAAGCTGGACTGAAACCATATAAGGACTATGTTTCAGTGTCGAAGGGCCGTTTTCTCCTCGTCCTGCTAATACTCGCACAGTGTGCGTTCGTCATCCTGCAGTGCCTGGCAACTTATTGGCTTGCAATTGCAATTCAAAGCCGCCAGTTTAGTGTCGTACTTGTGGTTGGAGTCTATGCAGTGATGGCAGCTGCAAGCTGCCTCTTCGCCTATATTAGGAGCCTTCTTGCTGCTCACTTTGGCCTGAAAGCATCGAGGGAGTTCTTTTCAGGGTTCATGGATTCATTGTTCAGGGCCCCAATGCTGTTCTTCGATTCTACTCCAACTGGAAGGATCATGACCCGGGTAAACTATTCTGAATATATCGATTATTACCTGTTGACATTTTAGGAAATGGAAATGCTGACTATGTTCTTGCAGGCTTCGTCTGATGTTAGCATCTTAGACTTTGACATCCCGTATACTATGAGCTTTGTCATCTCGGGCACAGTTGAAGTGGCAGGAACCATAATTATCATGACCATGGTTACCTGGCAAGTAGTACTAGTGGTCGTTCCTGTTGTGATTGTTCTGTTATACATTCAGGTGAACACCATTTCTGAACTCAATTCCTTGCTCTGGCATGGTGAGACAAATGAAAATTATGGTAGTGTTGCAGAGATACTACATTGCATCAGCGAGGGAGCTAGTAAGGATCAATGGAACAACAAAGGCGCCTGTCATGAACTTCGCGGCAGAGTCGATGCTGGGAGTGACCACCATAAGGGCCTTTGCAGCTACAAAGAGGTTTATTCAGAGAAATCTTCAGCTCATAGACACAGATGCGACACTGTTCTTCTACACCAATGCAGCACTGGAGTGGGTGCTTTTGCGTGTAGAAGCACTGCAAATCTTGGTCATCATCACGTCATCCATCCTTCTTGTCACACTACCGGAGGGAGCTGTTGCTCCAGGTAGAGAATTTTATTTAGGAAGATAGTTGAGCACATGGTTTGAATCTTCTAACCATTTAATTATGCTCTTGCTTTATTTCGTAGGATTCCTTGGTCTCTGTCTCTCATATGCATTGACGCTTTCTTCTGCTCAAGTGTTCCTAACAAGATTCTACTCAAATCTGGAAAATTACATAATATCTGTGGAGAGGATCATGCAGTTTATGCATTTACCAGAAGAGCCTCCGGCTGTCATCCCTAACAGAAGGCCTCCTTCATGGCCATCTGAAGGAAGAATCGATTTGGATAATTTGAGAGTAAGTGACTCAAAGTTCTAGATTTTTTTTTCTTTCAAATAATTCATCAATTTCCCAGATGTTCAAACTGGATCATGTTTTTCAGGTCAAATACAGGCCAAATGCGCCTACGGTTCTGCGCGGAATCAGCTGCACATTTACAGCAGGAAACAAGATTGGTGTTGTTGGCAGAACTGGGAGTGGGAAGACGACTCTTCTGAGTGCACTGTTCCGCCTTATCGACCCATACAGCGGCCGGATACTCATTGATGATCTTGACATTTGCACCATTGGACTGAAGGATCTGAGGATGAAGCTCAGCATCATTCCCCAAGAGCCAACACTTTTCAGAGGCAGTGTAAGGAGTAATGTGGATCCTCTAGGTCTGCATTGTGACGAGGAAATCTGGGAGGTCAGCAAAACTAAATCTGAGCTGCAGATTAGTACATATACGTTCTGAAATATTTACCGGACCAAGTATTTTAGTATATACCAATATAGCAACATTGCACTTCTTTTATTGCACACGGTGGTTAATCCTGATCCTAATGCAGTAGTCTTCTGCAGGTTTTAGATAAGTGCCAACTGAAGAAAACAATCAGTGCTCTTCCTGGACTACTTGAATCACCAGGTGAGCATGCCCTCTGAACCAATCAGATGCTACAATTTTGTCAGAACTGTATTGTATAGCACTGAAGGCTCTCTGATTGCTAATCATCCTGATGTTTTCAGTGAGTGATGACGGCGAGAACTGGAGCGCCGGTCAACGGCAGCTCTTCTGCCTTGCGCGTGTTCTCCTCCGAAGGAACAAGATTTTGGTCCTTGATGAGGCGACAGCATCCATCGACTCAGCCACCGACGCCATCCTGCAGAGGGTCATCAAGAAAGAATGTTCAGGGTGCACAGTCATCACCATAGCACACAGGGTTCCAACTGTCACAGACAGTGATATGGTCATGGTCCTTTCCTACGGTAAGCATCCTAACAATTCTGGCTGAGATACAAATTCACTGACAAAGGAGAGCCTTTCTGGAGTATGGCCAAGTTGATGTAATAAATTTCTGTCATATCTGCAGGCAAGATGATCGAGTACAGCAGGCCATCAATTCTGATGGAAAATAAGAACTCTGCATTTTGTAAGCTTGTCGATGAGTACTGGTCCAACTATAACTGAAGTTGCAAGGAAACTGGACGAACTGTAGTATAAATATAAATACATGGCCACTCCATAGAAGATTTCCTGTCGGCTATACATTGTTCATCTGTTCACTCAAGGAGAATAATGACCTGCATTTTGTGTAGTTGGTAAATCAAAATAAGTATGTATATCAACTCCTTTGTAATCCAGGAATAGCAGGTGCAGTAGCACAACACATGACAAAGTTTTGAACATTTGAAACCCTGGAGACGGATTCTTATTGTTTCTGTCAAACTACTTTGAGATTTACATTTGTGCTGAAAACAGACTACACAAACTAATTGAACAAACACACATCCTGATTATCTCCACTACAGGGTCCCCTTATGCCCTTTTTTTTGGGTGATGTACATTATATAGGTTATCTCCAACAGAAATGAAAATTTGCCATGTTAGACAACTGAGTTGTGACCACCACTTCTGTGCCTAGAGCGACCGGATTGTGGCTGTCTTCGGGTTTCCTAGACAGGTAGTCCGTTTTCATTCTGATGCAAAAGGCTTGCTTCCCAGTGTTAGAAATTGATAGCGACCCGAGTCTTTATCGGCTTCAGCTTCACACCCATACTCTCAGGAGATAGCAGCTCAGGCGATATACAGCATGGACTTAGTGGACTGCGAGGGCTGCTGCTTAGCTGATACGGTCTATAAAGTCCATATCCCATAAGGAAGTACTCCATTGGCATCAGCATCGCATAAGGCTGCTCCTCGGTCACAAGGGAGCCACAATCCTTCACCTGCAGTTAACTCGGAAAGTAATCTGAGTAACCACTTTTTTGTTCCAGATATGCTTCTATCTGGAGATGGCATCACGTACATCCAAATATTACCTCAATTAGTGCGCAGTATCTGCGGTCCAGTTTTGTGTTCATATGGATAGCATCCTCATGGAACTCTGAGTTCTCACCGACAAAAATTAGCGTGCGGCATTTCAGCTTCCTTAATGAATTTGTTAAGTCATGCCTTCTGGTGGGAGGGGAAACCCATATGAGCATCAAGATTCCAGAGATGAATTCTCTAGCAAACTCATTAAAAATAAATAAATGAATAACAACATACTCATTTATTGATTGAAGAAACCGCCAAATATTTTCACTCTGCTTCTCATCAAGTAACTGCATATAAAATTAACAGTAAGCAGCCACTATTTGACGATTGATATCTAAAGGAATGTGCGAAACCTATTGGTATTTATGACGTATTATACAACTAAGAGAATATCCAAAATGAAAAAAAAAAGAGACTAACACTTTTACAGGCTTGCACTATGTCGGATTCAGGATACTGTGCATCCCCACGCAGTTTCTGCAGACTTATATAGGCACGTCAGTTACTGAAAACTATAAACTATCAGTCCCAAGAAAACAAGATGAGAATATTGAGATCTGAACCAACCTTGCTAAAGTACCGTTGAAGCAAGCACTCCTTGACCAGGCCTTGAGTCCCGTAATAATAAAGCAAATTTAACAATACCTGTTGTATGAGTTGTCATTATTAATATTTATTAGCATTACTTGGCACGAGAGAAAATGGTAAATTGTTACTAATTGATGAAGTTACTTTGTTATACAGCCACTCGCTCCATGATGGGGCTTTGCACAGAGGGGAAACCAGCATCAGTCCTATTACCCTCTCCCGATATTTCGTCTATTAAAGAGTATAAAATCCTTGTTATCTCAGCATAGGATAATTCTTTTCTATTAACTCACAAGTCTGGAGTCCGACTCATAAAAGCACATACCGCAAAGAGAGTGAGAACATATGCACCAGCCGTGACACCAAGGCACATCACAGATCCTAAACTGAATGAAGTACGACTAAAATCAGACAGCTGTGGTTATCGAATGAATAGTTTTTGGGCAAAAATTGTAGAATGAAGAAGTCATGCATTAGGACTAATGTCATGTCACAAACTGACAGTACAATACCTGAAGAAATCAAGCACATCTGCGACTTGATCAGCGAGATCATCAACAGTTGGCACCGGCACATCTGATGATATCGGAGCTGCTCCCAACTGTAGGACTCTTAACATACACCGTAGCAAAGATCATGTAAGCAACTCAAAATACAAACCCAGCACACCGCGTCACAAAGATTGAACCAGCATTACTGACCTCGTGCCCCTGAGGATTGATGTGGTAGATGCAGAAATTGTGGAGCAGCAAAGACGCAGCTTCCGGGCAGAAGAACAATCCTTGGAAACAGGACATGTCTGTCCAAGCCAAATAGGAAACGGAAAGATATAAGCAATGTTCGCATGCCGATTGTGGAATTCAGTCATAACAGTTATCATTAAATTAAAAAAAATCTTTGGAAGCACTTACAATTCAGAGCTACATCTGGGTATGTTATTAGCGCAGGCTTGTCCTCGTCTCCATACACGGCAACGGTTACAGAACCACATCTCGTCCTCACAAGATGCTCCTGGGGAAGACAAAAAAGCACTCACTTTTTAGCAGCTATTTCAGCGGCACTGTCCACCCCAAGCAAAAAAATAAGAACAACTTGGAAGTGGAACAAAGTTTGGCAAAATTTGGATGATTTCTGATGACAGATGGACATATGGACCAAATATAGGTAGCAATTTCAAGAAGAAACATTAGAATTGCAACATGCTCATTGTATAGCAAGCACAAGTACATAACTTAATAGCGCAGAATTTTGTGCACCGGTGGCTGATAGATAGAGATGACAAAAACAGCATAACAACTTTGGATACAAAAGGCACCGAAAAGTGAAAACATTTGACGACGTGACGGACAAAAACACCATTACTATAAACTAAGTTTCACCAAGCCAATCATTTCTAAGCAGAAAGAGAGAGGGCTACAGACAGCACATCAGAAACCAAACACAGTTCAATTATGCCCAAGCCTGCCCGTAACCATAACCAAAAAAATCCAAAGGAAGAAAAACAATCCAAATCCAAATACAATTACAACACCAGAGCGGCGCCCACAATTCACATCCTAAGAGATGAAAAGGTATCTCCAGTTGGAAGGAAGCACGAAAGGTGCAAGTCGTCGGACCTTGCCGCCGAAGGAGATCCGCTCGACGTCCACCGACACGGACCCTGACCTGCTAGAATCCGCCATTGCTCCCTCCGCGACCTCCTAGTGCCAGGCCCCCTTCCTCGGCTCGGCTCATACCGCCTCCGCCACCGCGCGTGGGCGGCTATATATACGGCGCCGCAGGGCTGCTCCTGCTGCTGCGCGGTTGGTCATCCCTTCACCGACGAACGGGCGAGGGGTCAAACTCACCGGGTGGGTCGTCGTACCCCTCCTCCCTGCCGTCTGCCGAACCCAGGCCGAGGCCCGACTGTTTCGGATTGGATTAGTTGCGGCCGCACTCGCTCTCGTCGCCGTTCCTCTGACCTCTGGGCCCAAGCTGTCACTCAATCTCACACGGGGACATGGTTTGCTGTCACGCGATGATTTATAATTTTATATACTCTGTTCATTCTAAATTACAAGACGTTTTACAATTTTTTTAATATATAGTTTTTCTATACATTTAGATATATAGCACGAGTTGTTTAGTTCTACTGTTGGTAATGCAAACGTAAATGATTTAAAGCTGCAGATGTTATCGGTGGGAAATATGATTCAAACCGTGGACCTAATCAAACAGGGTGTATGTGTAGATATATCGTAAAAAAATATATATCTAGAAAAGCTAAAAACATTTTATAATTTGAACCGAAAGAAATACATGGCAATTGTTTGGTTTAGTCCTCAAAAGTTTTGCCATATAATTTTTGGCCATTGCCCTATCAATTCAGCGCACTCTGTCCAATAAATGTTTTGGCAAGTTTGTATAATTCTAACTTTTAGGAGTCAATCGTTTTAAAATTTTATCAAAATTATATAAAAAAATACTAACATTTATGATTTTAAACATAATTTTTATTGGATAGATGATTTTAAATGTAAGAAATTCAGACATAATTTTTTTTGGATAGATGATTTTAAATAAAAAAAGTCCCACAATTACAATCTATGCATATGTGCGAACTTCAAACCAAGCACTCTAGCACATATGCAGGGAGAGCTAATACTACCATTTTGGGTTTGTGGTACTTGTCCAAAATCATTTACACATGGTAAAATTGTTTGGGCAAGCAACATGAATCAAAAAGAGCTTAATTTCTATATCTTTGTAGAGTTGTCATCAATTACTGAAAAGGGGGAGATTGAAAGATCCTTGTGTGATTTTGGTAATTGAGTGACAACCTTGGTGGACCAATTGTGTTTATGTGAGATACACAGGTGATTAGTTCACAGGTACATGTGTGTGAGCAACATATGCCATGAAGTTGGAAATGGCTCGGAGATGTTGCAAAGCTCACACATGTGATGATGAAGGAGCTCATTGCACATGAGACATGACATTGAGTCATGTGATCAAGGTGGAGAAGATCAAGACATAACTTGGCTTGATGGACCGGTTGTAAGCGTGAAGGGCAAGTCGGAGGCTTTGAAGCGATGGACCGCGTGGCGGTGAAGCTTGAGCAAGACTTGGCACCGATGGACGAAGACAACGGTGAAAAGCAAGTGTAGTCAAGATCGATGAACCAATATGATCATGTGATGATATGAAGTGGATCATATCATTGTTGATCGTGTTGGTGCATGTGTTGCATTGACATTGGAGGAGATGGAATGGAATACGCAAGGTAAAGGTATAACCTAGGGCATTTCATTTCACCGGTAATAGGCATGTAGAGAAGTTTATGACCTGGTTTAGGATAGATGGCCGTCTATCAAGAGGGGCAAACTTGTTTGCATATCGGTCATCTAGTGCCACTCTAGTGATCTAACTTTGCATCGTCGCTAGGATCGAGTGGCGTGGCAAGTGGAGTGGCTAATTCCCTTGAAAATGTTTGTGAAAATATGCTAACACATATGCACAAAGGTGATACACATTGTGTTTAGCACTTGGGAGCAAGGGTAAGAAACTTCACCGACGCCCTGTATAGAAAAGACAGGGTTTCACAGAGTGCACCGGACGCTGGTCTCAACTAGACCGGAGCGTCCGATCAGTGGAAGCAGTGAAGACGTAGGTGTCGGTCTTTGACCGGACGCTGGGTGGGTGTGCCCAGTCCCGCTGACGTGGCAACATAGAGAAGAGGAGAATGACCGGACGCGTCCGATCGCGGTTGAGCATTCCTGGGAGCTTACTGGAAGTGACCGGACGCTGGGGTCCTGCGTCCGGTCGTGATCTAACTGACGCATCCGGTTTGAATTGAACCTCTCTGGAAACGACCGGACTCGGTAGAGGTGCGTCCGGTCTTGGCACTGTGCTGCGTCTGGTCATCACTTGACTGTTGAGATCAAGCGACTGAGGTTGAACGGAGGCGACACGTGGCGTACATCAGTCGACCGGACGCTGGACAGGGTTCGTTCGGTCGATATGACCTGAGCGTCCGGTAACCCCGAGCTGTGCCTGTGAAGGGGTACAACGGCTCTATTTTTGTGGGGGCTATAAATAGAAGGGGTCTCGGCCTTGGGCTGGTTGATGAGCACACTAGAGCCTTGGTGGCTTATGTGGTAGTGCTTGGGAGCCCTCTAACTCACTCTAGCTTGATAGTGTTCATCCGATTGAGTGAGTGAGCAATTCTAGTGCGATTGCATCGTGAGGCTGCATCGAGTGGCACTAGGTGGTCGTCTTGCAAGCTGGTAGTGCTTGTTACTCTTGGAGATTGCCACCTCCTAGATGGCTTGGTGGTGGTCTTCGCCAAAGCCCGCAAGAAGCTTGTGTGGTGCTCCGGAGAAGAGCTTTGTGAGGGGCATTGTGCTCGTCCCGCGGGAGCCGCGAAGAGCAACTCTAGTTGAGCGTGTCATTGAGCTACCCTCACTTTCGGGGTAGGTTCTTGCGGTGCCCGACGTGCGGGCTTGGCGGGTGATGCCAATTAGCCGCCGAACCACCAAGTGAGTGGTCGACACAACGGGGACGTAGCGTGTTGGCAAGCACTTGAACCTCGGGAGAAAATCACCGTGTCAACATTGTTCTTCCCGTTGATTTGCAATTTTCTTACACAAGTTTGTTGTTACTTTCATATACATTGTGCTTGTGTAGTTGCTCTTGTAATTAGTTAGCTTGTGTAGCTCACTAGTTATCTTCTTGCTTGAGTAGCATAGAAGTAGCTCCCTTGCGTGACTAATTTAGTTTGCATAACCTTGTTAGTCACATTGCTTAGTTTATGTAGCTAAGTATTTGAGCTCTCTAATTTGGCATTGGTTGCCTTGTTATTGAGCGTTGCTAGTAAGCTTAGGAGCTTTGTGCTTTTGCTTACTAGAATTGTGTAGGAGCTCCCCGGTGTGCAAAGTACTAGTGGCATAGATTTGTATGACCTTGCTCCTACAATTGGATAGGTGAGCTCTAGCTAGCCCGGCACCTTTGTTGGAGAATTGGGATCTTTATAAGGTTCTTGTGAACTTCGATAGAGGGGTGTAGTCATGGCTAGACCGATTGTTTTAATTCTGCATTTGTTTCGGTTAGCCGGTGCGATTAAATTTAGTAACGACTATTCACCCCCCTCTAGTTGCCATCTCGACCTTACAAGTGGTATCATAGCTAGGTCTCTCATTTGTGGTCTTCACTGACCCGAGAGGATGGCGTCTAGTGGGCTAGATGTTTGTGAGACACATTTTTTATGGCACAAACTTTGCACTTTGGAAAAATCACATGCTTGATCATTTTCGTGCAAAGAGACCTAAGTTTTGGTGGATTGTCACTAGTGGTCTCACCCATGTCTTGGATCATAGAAATCTCACCAAAGCTCAAAGAGTTCTCTATGAACTTGATGCACATGCTTGTTGTTTTCTAATGGATGCTTTGAGTTTTGATTTGATGAAGCAAGTAAACATCACGGGAACTGCTCGTGAGATATGGGAGTCCATCAAGTGCACCTTCGGTGATTCCTCCACATGGGATGATGGCAAGTTCAAGGAGGATGAGCCCAAGAAAGTGGCGCATGAGGATGTTGAGCATGACCACAACTTGGTGATTATGGAAGATTGCTCCACCTCATGGTCAAGTGATGATGATGATCGATCTACTACAAGTTCACTTGACAAGATTGATGATGATGCCTCAAGTGATGTACATGATGATCCTACCCCATGCATACTTGATGGTGATGATGGTTCATGCTCAAGCCATGATTGTAATGCTACTACAAACTCTCCAACTACACCACATTGCTTCATGTCACAAGGTGACACCAAGGTATCAAATGCTAATGTGGTTGATCATGTTAATTCATATGATGAGCTTGTTAGTAGACTTGCTAGCATGACCATGTCTTTAGAAAATGAGAAAGCTAAAACATTGAAATTGGAAAATGAAAACTCATTTCTAAAGAACTCTTGTGAAGAACATAAGAAATTACTTGATGTTCTAAAATTGAATCATGAGACACTACTTGCATCTCATGAAGAATTATTAGAACAACACGCTTCTCTCATTAAAGTGTTTACAAAGAAACTTAAAAATAATGAGAGCTCATCACATAGATTAAATGATAAATTGCAAAATATTGCTAACCCTTGTGATGTAGGCAAGAAGCATGTATCCACCTCTTGTGATGATTTATTAGATATGCCATGCTCTTCACATATAGATGCTTGTTCTACTTCTATTTCTTGTGAGACTAACCTTTTAAAGGAGAACAATGAGCTAAAAAATGAAGTGAAGAATTTGAGCAACAAGTTAGAGAGGTGCTACAACTCAAAAGTCACCTTTGAGCACATGTTGAAGACTCAAAGAAACTATGGTAACAAGTGTGGCCTTGGCTTCAAGAAGAAGATGACAAAGGGCGAAAGAAAGACGAAGAAGCTACAACAAAGAAAGCTCTCTCATACCATGTGCTACCGGTGTCATGAAGCGGGACACCTTGCAAATGGTTGCCCTAACATTGAGAAGCTCAAGAAGATAAAAGAAGAAGAGAGGCTCAAACATGTGAAGTGCTTCAAGTGCCGCACTTGGGGTCATCTTACCTCAATGTGCCCTACCAAGCAATTGGTGAAGCAACTAGAAGAGTCTCAACCAAAGCCACAAGTTGAGCAAGAGAAAACACCCCAAGAGCAAATCA